GAAGAGAATGTAAGACTCCCGAAACTTCACTTATTCTATTATACATCGAAACTCTTAATCAAAACTGATTACACAAGATTTCACCGAACGACACTAAAGTATACAGTTTACATAACATTTTTATACAAACGATACTGAACACAAACATAGTACTCTCTCTCGAAAATCATTTACAAAACAGATAATTGTAATACAATTTTTTTGAAAAAACAATATAATTTATATAGATGTAGAAACAAAACATTATTTTAATTGTTTAAGTTAAAGATGAATCGCGGGAAGTTAGTGATATCTGCTTGTAGAAGTTGTTTGTATCTCAGAGATTGATACGCTAATTATTTAGTAGAATCCAATAGGTCATAAAGAAGCAGCCAATAGTGTGCGTGTGTGTCTGTGGTTTGTGAATAAACAGAAGTTTTGGCTGAAAAAAAAACAACAAAAAACTTCAAACACCACTTTGCTTCATTTAGCAAGAAAATCGTTAAAACTAGTTACCCTATTAGTATAGTACAGAATGCTCTCGTGCTGTTCTCACATCGTACACGTGTTCTCCTGATTTGTATGCACAGATATGTTTACTACATAACTGACTTTTTTACATTTAGTGTTTTAATTCAGACACAAACTTTCTTCTATATTTAGTCAAAAATATCGCGAATAAAAGACTTATATAAGTGGGTATATATGACACCATTCTATAATAATTATTTTGTAGAAAAATTCATTATAAACTAATATTTCACATTCCCAATAATTCACATGTATTTAATTAATATTTAAAATGTAGGCGTGTCACGGGTATTGTTTTATTTCGTTTAAAACTTGTTTAAAATAAATATAAACAATTATAATGATCCTTCGTCAGCTTAGACAAGGCGTTCACACCAAACAATTGTTGTAACAAATAGATTATCATAAATAAGTGTTCCCACCACTGCTATGTTTGTCGTATCCATGTCAGCCTGATGAGCTCTGGATTGAGCGAAACGCATCATCGGTAGTGGACATGACAGACAGTCAAGTAGAGCGACTTTGCTAAATCAACCCGACCTTATTTTATGAAGAATCCGACAGTGTGCAGGGTATCAGAAAGCATAAAGATGAGGATGATAAGATCATTTTGACAGCCAGAGATTAGCATTCTAAAACAAGATATGAAGTACGTTTCGTCTATAATTTTTCAGCAGCATATTAGTGTTGTCCTCAAGCAACAAACATGAATAGCACTTTATGTTTAATTTCTACTTTTGAAATTTAATTATGCGGACAATCTACACGAGAGCATGCGGCTTCCACTCCAATGTGCAGATAAAGCTGGGTTGGATCGTCTTGAACCTGCTGTTTGGACGAGCCCGATAAAGATGAAAGCTACTACGTCGATGGAAAGTGAAAGCACCGTATGCTTCCTAAAAGAATATCAAGATAAAGAAGGAGGTTACAGATAATTTTTGGTCAGAAGAAAGTCGTGACCACGACCAAGTTTGGGCTAGGAGAAAAGAAAGATTGAACACCCAGTTTGTTGAAAACAATATGGCTAACTGCTTCTCATATCAAGCCCCACACAACCCGCTACTAAATATACAATTTGCAGAGTTTCCAGATTTCACCGATGCCCACCTACTCACCAAGTTTTCTCTACTTGACTCAGAGATTCAGTGCAAGTAGTTATGTATCTTTTGGCTAATTGTTGACTCTGCAACATTACAGGTCCGCGTGCACGGAATGTGTGACTTCGGTGTTTCTTACATTAATTTAATTAAATGATCTGTATGTATGCGAATCTTTTCACCTTAACATAATTAAGATCACACTATCGGGGCAAAGAAATCAAACTTACTTTTCACATGTTAGTTTGGAGGATTATATAGAAAACTGCTCGCATACCAGTATCATGCTTTTCTAGATATTCAGGGTCAAATAAAAGGTGCAAGCAACTACGATTTTGTGTTTATATCTCTCTTTTTAGCATTACAGGTCTCTCACTCAAATGTTATCAAATACAGTCTAAAAATAAGGGGATTTATATGCTGTTAAGCAACAAAAAATAGGCTTTTATAGGTTTTCCGGCAAAGTTTTATGGCTATAAATAACCCTTTGAACCCAAACCATCCACATTACACACTATCCTATTAAAAACAAGACATACATCGTTTATTCATATGTAAATAACAAATGTCCAGGTTTAATATACACATAAACAGGTTACAGGTGCATGAGAACATATCAAACACACTAGTAAGATATATTAACAATATGTTTATTTGTTGATCCAAGCAGTCTTGTGCAAAACAGAAACAAATTTTCTATTCCTTTAGTTAATTTGTTTTTCAAACTGTTTCCCTGCCGTCTCAAGTCTATCTTGTGCCACTTGTTTTTGTCTACTTTCTCCTGGGCTTTCCTTGTGATTTTTTCTTGGCTGTATTCATCTTTAGTTTCTTTCTCATCCATTTCAATTTGAAACTCACTATTTTTCAATGCCTTGATCTTTTCCTCTTCTGCTTCCTTTCTAAACTGTTGTGCCTCGGCTTTTCCTCTTCAAGTTTCAAAAACATCACATCACATGGTTTTCCAGATGCTTTCCCAACATACTTACAAACTCTCAATCCATTAAAAGATGTTTCAGATAGATCAAACCTTTTGTTTACAGTTTTCTTCCTGAATCTGAATTTCCATGACTTGGCTGGGACTGCTTTTATGACTTTTGCACAGTTTGGATACTTGGGTGTTCCAACCACATTCTTTTTGATTGTCACACATGACCAATATTTGTTTACCACATACTTTTTTCCTGTGCATAATTTTCTGAATACAGTTTTAACTGGTCACAAACTGTCAGTAGTTTCTCTGATTTAAGAATTAGCATCACCTCTGCAACATGTTTGATTAATTGCACACAAATGATTTCTATTTTTATTTGTATATGACTCACTTTGAAGGATCTAAGAGCTTATTGCTAATACTCAAATTGTTTACCAGATAATTCACAAAAGGTAATTATTCTTGACAAGTTTGTAATGTTTTGCAAGCTGGCTCTTCTCCAGTCAATGACAACTTTTATAATCTGATAAATGGTTTCTGGTGACATCCAAGATATGATTCTTGCAGTCTTCAGCACACATTCTGCCTTCAAAGATCTCCGAAGGAAGGTTTTCACTAGATCCACCATAGATTCATGTAAGAAACGGGTAAAAGGCCCTACAGTTTGAAAGGTCTCCAGGCAAGTATCAAAAATTACTTCAGAGACAACAGAAAGAGTAATTGTACCAGGATGTCTTCTTTCAACCTTGTTCAGACTCATTTGTAATTGTCACTTTTCTGTATTTGATCTTGTCCAGAAGGGATAGTTCCTAAAATTAATTTCTTGCTAGAATCAAAACACTATGCAATTCTTTCTAAAGCATCTAGTGCAGTGACCAAATGGCTTTCCACATGTCAAACAAAGAACTTTCTTTAAGCCTAATTTCATTTTGCAACTTTGCAAAATCCTCTCTTCTTGCTGTAGACAGCTTGAAAAAATGGATATGGCTAGCTTTTTTGCTGTAAAATACAAAGCTATACAATGGGCGATATAACAGGTATTGAAACCCAGTTTTTAGCATTACAAGTTTCTTGAGATAACATAAGACTGATGAGATCTAACTTGCACATGCCCTGCTTCTTTACTGGAAGATTGGTGGTTTGTAAAACTGATTTCACTGACAATCTGTTTGGTGAAGTAGAGCTCCCCAGCTTGAAGTCCTTAGCAATTTGCTATTGGGAAACATGACATAGAATATAGATCACCGATATTATCAAAAGAAGAAAAACAGTAAATTTCACAACTAACTTATAAGGCTTGGTATATTTCAGCTATTAGTCTCACATCTTCACCAATCAACATCAATTTGGGTTTTATTGTGGTTTGTGTTAATAAGGTAGAAGAAGCATCTTCCTAATAGTGAGAAGGTTTACTTGATAGTACTGATAGCTGAGATGAAGACTGAGCTCTTGTTGCTAGTATAGTATCCTCTTTGAAAGGAACCAGCTTAGTCTGTCACCCCCACACAAAGCTTGTGTTCCGTACCAGCCAAATGTACACATCATAATCAGCCACTGGTAACAAATTTGTGTTGAGGCATGGCAAAGTTGACTACCTGAGAAGTTGAAAATGACCAACTCAAATGAGAAACTGATAAACCAAGTGCAGTGGGAACATTTCAAATTTAATACACTACTTATTAAGCAAATTTAATACAAACATTTCTTTGATTCAGACTGGACAAAATAAAAGTTTTTGTAAGTCATTTTCAAAGAATCTAGGTCCAATTTAAAATTATATGTTTTTATAAGAGGAGTGGAAGGCCTCACTTAGTTTTCTTAATAGTATTGGTTATAATAATTTTTAAATTTTACATTATGAAAATTCTGTTTAAACTCAAAGCTGTTCACATGGTTATCTATCCTGTGGCATCCACAGGAATAAAACTACAAATTTTAGTTATCAGCTTTCAATGTTACTTCTGATTCACTAACAAGTAATCTAAATCGCTTCAGCTAAGTGAAAACTGAGATATATTAATGCACACTAATGAAAGTTTTTCTTGTGTGGTGATTTATATTATATACTTCTAGTCACTATTTCTTTTATAGAATTAGCTTCATTAATGTACAAGTTACTTTTAACTCTGACCTAGAGAGTTAGCTTACCTCTGATCAGAATTTGGTGATGATTATAACCCAAAACAGTCTTTACTGTTTCTTGTCTAAAATATACAGGGTAATTACTACAGTAACTGCATGTTTTCTAAATCCCATTTCCAACATTATAATCCAGAATAGCATCATTAATGCAACTTTTTTAGAGTTTGGTTTTAACGTAACAGAAAGAGTTGGTAGTTTTCTATAATTAATGATCTTAAACTGGTTAGTCTCCCCAAAACTCTTCAAAAGATTGTCCCAAAAGAGAAATGTCATATAAATAATTTAACTTTCATGCACATACACACAAGAAACCTGGGCCCTTGATTTGATATTCTGGTTTATTTCATGAAAAGTATTCAACAGGGCTCATTAGTGTTTCTTCTTGCTTGAATATCCAATGAGTAAAACAACTTCATGTTATATCACTAATCACAAATAAGTCTTATCCACCACAATTATAACTTGGATAGTACTATTTTCAAATTTAGAACATAAAAATATAACTTTTGTTTTTCAAATAATACAGTGTAATTTACCCCTCACAGGACAAGGAAAAGTTCCTGGTTAAATCAGGTCAAAATGGCAGGTAATTTCAATATAAAATATTTTAAGGTTGTAGCCTAGGAATTCAAAACAAAATCTAGTTGACTAGAATGTGCTAAAAAATCTGATACATTCAATGACACAAAACAAACAATTTTTTTGAAGAACATTGAGTTATAATAAAATTTTGTCCAATAAAAAGATGCACTGCCTTAGTTACAACCCACAAGTGGTTTTGAATCCCATTATTTTTTAAATGTTTATTATGTCACGTTAATGATTTCATTTTGCCACACGATACATCATACATTTTTAATTCTCTCTCTCTCTCTCTCTCCATTGGCAGACAGAAATGGCATTTCAAAACACTGGTCATTGTAAACTAGTTGTATTACAAGATTTAGCCCCAACCCCACTCTCCAAAACCGAAATTATGAATTTCAGTGAAAAATAAGAGGCTCAGTCTTTTCTTGGATTTGCTATAGATCACTGGATAGATCAGTTTAGGGGAATTCTTCCCCTTCATCAATAGCTTCGGACAAGAGCAAATCACAAAATAAGATCAGGACTTCTGTAGTGGTGGACAGCAGTCTATGTGCATCACATTTTAATAAGAAGTAACATTTATTCTACAAGTTTATTTTTTCATACTATTCAGTGGAGAAACAACTAAAATTGTTATTCTTCTCTTAAACTTTCCAAAATACAAGCAATACATGCCAGTTCACTTAAGTTTTGTTAAACAGACTACTACTATTAGCCAATCAGCTTTAATATTAGTTTTTTAAGCCAGTAAAATATAAAATACACCAATCATACGATTAGACAAAGTATGATTGTTTAAATATTTCTCATGTAATCACACTTCCTTATTTACACATACAGAAAGAGAAAATCTTAAAGCAACACACTGAACTTCTTCCAGTTTGATTAATTAACTTAAGCTTTTTTATATTACAGTTTCTAAGATGGCATAGCTATAAAAATTATTGTGGCCAACAAAACTTCACACATTGACCATAAAGTGCAAGTTGTGATCTAATCAGAAACCAGTTTGTTTTCTTAGCACAGACAATTTATAATGAGCTAAATTATATTTAAAAGTTTTTATCATTCTAAAAATACTTGTATTAACTTTTAGTACCAAAAATTGGAATTCACAATGTGCAGCTTCTTACATTGTGAAAAGTAAAACTGAGACGAACAAAATGAGTGTTAAAATAATAGAAATAACCAAATAAACCTTGTCAGTAAGTTTTATTCATGGCAAAACTGCAGGAATAATAGTTTATTACATATATCCAATCTCATTATCAACAGTATACTTGCAAAAATATGCAGGTGTTTTCTTACAAAAGAAGACAATAAAACTGCATAAAACTTGTAAAAAGTACAGTAAGAAGACGGGTTCCAATCATTCTAGTTTGTCTTTAGATGTAAAAAGTACAGTAAGAAGATGGGTTCCAATCATTCTACTTTGTCTTTAGATGTAAAAAATACAGTAAGAAGACAGGTTCCAATCATTCTAGTTTGTCTTTAGATGTTCTTTTCAGTTGTAAAATGCAAAAATGAAATAATGAAGTCATACTGGAAGTACAATAAAAACAGAATAAAATACAAACTACTTGTTAGAACGACGAGAGGGCTCAGATGCAGTAGGAGGAGGTGGGGGACCACGTCTATCAAGATCTTCAATGTATGCCATAAGAAGTTTACGGCGTTCATCTGCTATACTATCTAGGATAAGATAACGCTTGTCTTTCTGAAAGATTATGAGCAGAAAACTATAATGAATCCTACTGATACTTCATCAAATATATTATAATTTACAGATTAAAAACTTTTCAAAAACATTTTAGCACTCAATGTTTTATCAGTTTTAAATAAACTTAATTTTATAACTTGATTCCTTCCATTTCACTTTAACAATAATAAAAAAAAATTATAAGTATCAAAAATAAAAATTAAACCTTCCTTGTTTTTACTCTTGTAATATATCAAATTACAAAATCAAGCACATTCTATTATGTTTACTCTATGCTTATATCAAACCATTTGTTATTTAGAAAAAACCAAAGCTTATTTACATGAGATATGGTAATAATATTGACTTTACAGAATAAATGATGTATATCACCAACCTGTAAAACTGTTTCTATGTCTATTAAATGTTGTTCTGATTCTTCAATCATCTTCTTTGACCTAGATATTAATATGACACATCAGCTAGCATAATTATCACGGTATAAAATTATACTTTCCACCAAAAAGAAAAATGAGTTTGTTTTAGAAAATTTACCCAACTTACTTTTTAGTAGATTTCAATGAAAACACAAATGCATTTTAAAAATAAAAATCTCTTTTTTGCATTTCAAAACCTTTAACATTATCTCATAACATTAAGAAGTTTCTAATTTTAATTTAAGAACATAAATATATTTACAACAATAGTTCTAGCAGTATAGGTAATTCTAATAAAATGTTACTTGCAAAATAATAGAAAAAAAGAGAGAGAGAGGGAAATGAGTTCTTTATTCAGTTACTAAGAAAATTCCACCTAATAATATTTCTGTGACAAAAAAAGTTGTATAATCTTGACTTCACTCACAATTAGTGCCCACACATAAAAAGTGATACAGTAAGAAAACAAATCAAGTTAATTAAAATCAAAATTCAATCACTGAAACACATCTATCGGCTCTTTCCAAATAACTAAACTGTAAAACAATAGGTCTCAAGTGGAAAAGAAAATGGTAATTTTAACTTGACAGTAAAACATACTTTTACATATTTTAAGACTTAAAACTACAAATAAATACAAATTCTAATTTCCATATCAAGATTACTTAAATTTCAGCAAACATACTAATCAATACAGTAGTTGCAAAAAGGAATACTGGTAAGATCAGATATTTACTCTTTACATTTTATTTGGTGAATAGCGATTGCAAAAATTCTAAAACTAATATGACTTAACTCCCCTTTCCCCAAAATAAAAGGAAGAGACCTACTTGTATGTGATAATTTTCGTCTCCTTTAAAAGTTCCCGGAAATCAGTTCTACCAGTATTCAACTTGTCTTTCAGATAATCCTTAAATTCCCGTTCACACTTTCTATCACTTGAAGAGAACTTTGTATAGCGTGGGTCTTCTTTGATCAACTTCTTTACCTGTATTAATCAAAACTATTATGTCCACATATTCATATGCTATATGCATAAATGAAATAAATATATTTGGTACGCTATACAGGTTTACAAATGCCAATACTTACACACAAGTAGATAATAATTTAGTCATGAAGAAGCCACTTTATTTAGCAGACCTAGAATATGGAAATTTAGGAAAGACTACATTATTTATCAGTACAACATTTTTCAAGGCACTAAAGCCAACAAGCTTGGGAATCAAGGCTCTGTTTTCTTTTCGCATAAAAGAATCAAGTAAAATGGACAAAAGCATTATGTGAGGATTGTAGGACATCATGGAAAAGCCTTGCAGTAACAATAAAGTAACTGCTAACATTCTCATTATGGGATCAGCCAAGTATGTGACCCCAAATGGACCTCACCATAATATTACTTCTAATATTTTTTGTGTGTCTTCATGAAATTTTGCAAGCTTTAAATAAGGAATAAGTCTTTTGTAGACAAAAACTCAGAATTTTTAATGAAGCATTTTTGCTAAGACATACAACAAGCATAGAAATTTACATACTTGGACCAGATCATTACAGATTATGGAAAATGTGAAGCATGGACCTTGACATAAGCATTGGTCAACAAACTGAAAGCATTTAAGATGTGGGTGTAGAGAAAGATGATCCTGGACAGACATGGTAACAAAAGAAGAAGTTCTCAGTACGGTGAATGTGAAAAGATATGTTGTACCAACCATCAAGAAGATAAGAGTAGCATATGATGAGACGAGACAACATCAGCAAACCCAACTAGAGCGACAAATAGAAGGGAATAGATACAGGGGAAAACCAAGAATGGAGTGGATAACAAATATTAAAGAGTGGACTGAGATAGCAAAATATGAAAACCTGGTGAGAAAAGCACAGGACAGAAGATTGTGACAGCCAACCTTCCTGAGGAAGACGGTACATGATGATGATGATGTGGAGTGAAAGTGTTAACTGCTCAGAAAGATTTTCAAGTTAAAAACTTATCTTCATCTGAAAATTGTCAAATTGTCCTAAATAAATTTCAAATGATTTTTTTTGCAGTAAAACCTTATATTTTATCTGTTGTTTTCTCTACCCTAACACTATACGAGGTTGGTCAATTTTATCAACTTGTAACTACCAAATATATATTCGAAATAAATCTAAATTACTCTTTTTTTTCTTTCTAGAATGAATTCAAATTGCAACCTGAAATTACATTTGTTTATCCCAAATAGCTTTAAACTCATAACAGTATACATCTATTTATAATTAAATGTAATTGTTTTATTGCCCTTTGAACTGTGTCTAACTAATATTCCTACCACAAAAGTTGTAAATCACTTGGTTAGCATGTAGCTCACATTACCCTATTACAGTGTTTCCCAAACTATGTTCCGCGGAACACTGGTGTTCCTTCCGAGATTGATAGGTGCTCCGTGAGAAAAATCATGATTTTAAATTTTAATAAAATATTTAACACTTTTTGTACAATCATAACTTATTATGAAATATTTTCCTATGTATTAGAATTAGATAATATCGATTTCACATTGAAGAAGAATTATAGAAGATGCCATATCTATTCCACATAATATCTTAGTGAAGAGGTTTATACCAAAAATATATTAAAAATGTATTAATATGTAATTTGATTTAATAAATAAATATATAATATACAAATGTAGAGGGTGCTGCACATGCAACATACCCTCTACACCAATATTTCATGTGTCTAGTGTTCTGTAAACTTTTTCTCAGCTGAAAAGTGTTCTGTGGCCAAAAGAGTTTGGGAAGCACGGCCCAATTAAATTAAAGTATTGTATCTCATGAAAATTTACCATTTATTTTACTTAATCTAACCTAAAAAGTTTCCTAGTTTTACATATTAGTTACTTTTATAATAATAAATAAAGAATACACATGCAAAACAAGAAATATAGTACTTACCTGGGTCTTTTTTTGTGCTGTCAATGAAACTTAACCCACTTTTCTATAGTAATGGTATGACTACACTAAACAAATTTTATTAACCTAACAACAAAGTACCTTGCATAAACATTTTATTTTGTGACCAACAAGTGCGGTCTACTCGCAAAAAACATGTGGGAGAAGCTCCATGGATTGAGCATATCATATACAATGATGATAGCCCTCTTCTCACTGAGTGGGTATAAATGATTTTGATTTGGTTTATTGTACAAACCTCACTCCTGTGGAAACCTCCATGGTTTCAGCGAGCCCCTGGTTTGAGAAACAGAAAGACCCAAATTGTAAGAATCACAAGTGAGTCGGGATGGGCAAAATGAAGTCCATGAGTGATGGTCCTTTATATATGATACAGTGATAATAATAAAATAATATATATATACACACACACACACACAGATAGATATAGACACACCACCAGATAAGCAGCCGGTGGTCTCACAGAAACACCCCATCTCCATAGTAAGCATTATAAAAAGTATACAGATTTAGAGTTACAATATAAAACTCAGCATATCTGACCAGGCAACACCCACCACCAAGTGGGATCCTGAAATATGATGTATATCAATGAAATAAGATAAAAAAATAATAGTATGTTGACGTATCCCAGTCAAAGGCAAACAGACATGTATAGAATCATCACAGGAGGAAAACTATACCCACCCAAGGTAGACACAGCTATGTCGTGCAGAAAAAGAGCAGGAGTTCTTGTATTAGGAGTTGTCCACATACCAGCCTGAATGATTTCCTCCAAAAGACAGCAGTACTGAGCAGTTAAAGACTTAGTTATATGAACTAAGAAAAATTGTAGATGGTGACCTTCCATGAATGTGTCAAAATACACCAGTCGTATGAGTTGAGAAACTCAACCAGTGAGTGTAATAGGTGAAAGTGGAATGCCATGGAACAAATAGACAGGAACAAGACCACGAAATGAGGCAGTACAAGCCATATAACAAAGCAGGGAATGAATTGGACAAAGTAGATGATCCGGATCTTAACAGGAATACAGGTGGGAAAAGGAAGGTAAGGAAATAGAAGTAAAGGCAAAAATAACCTTCCCGGAAGGAAGGCCTGATTTGGATACCTGATAACATATGAGGAATGGTAAAGGATGCAGGAAACAGCAATAGATTAGGTGTCAGAACAACATGGAGATCCCAAACTGGCAAAACAAAGGAATATGGCAGATAGATCAAACAAAGGAATGGAAAAGGAGGGAAATAACCAGGAAGGAGAAAGCTTTCCACAATTGGGAGAAAGGAAGGTGTATGACAGGGCAGTCTTATAAAGAGCAACAGTTGAAACAGACAAACCCTGATTAAACAACCAGATGCAGAACTGGGACAAGTAAGGAGCAGAAGGACAGGATGGTTGGAAGCCATGGCAAATAGACCAAAGCCTCTGGGACATAGACAAGGAGGAATGGCAATTGGTACAGGCAAGGAAAGACGCTACACAAGGGATAAGTCCCAGAAATGAGGCAAGGGACCGGACAAAAGTCACATGTGCAAATGAAATGTGGTGACAGGATGAAAAACGTCAGTTTGTGGTTGTCGGAGGAGCGATCAGAACAGAGAAAAGGGCAGGGCTGTTGTTCAAGTAAAAGCCACAGCAGAAGGAACCACATCTGAGCTGGCCAATAAAGAGCAATCAGCAGAACACAATAATCTTCACTGAAAGCATCCACCCCCACAGCTGAGGTCAAACAAGGAAGAAAGTTTGGTATTCCAGTGAGTGGGAAACACACACACAAATAGATATATACAGTGTTCCCAGTGGAGAACATACTCACAAAAATACCTGAGGATGAAGGGACCACTTCGTGGAGAACCTGGTTTGGACATGATAAACAACTGGCTACAAGATTCGTAACTGTGAAACATAATGTTGTGGTCGTTGGCCTAGTACAGCAAATCTAGAGCCTGAAAGGACAGAGATCTGGACATGGTTCCCCCTTGCTAGGTGACAGTGGAATTGCTAGAATGAATCATAACCATCCTCTCCTGCAGGAATGGGAGGAAATGAGAGAGAGCCTGATGAACTGCCAACTGACCACCGACTCAAAATCTCTGGAAAATCAAGAAAGCATTCATGAACAAATAAGACTCAGGACGAGGCAGAGGAACCCGGAAACCCTCACTGTGGTCAGGTCACCAAAGGAGGTTGGCGCCAATCCCAGGTGGAAGGGAAATAGGATGGTTCAAGGGATCATGGGAGAAGTTCCACTGGTCAAGTAGCATCCAATGAAGGTGATGGATGTGTGCCTGAGCAGATAGAGAGGTAGAAGGTAGGGCTCAACTGAGACAGGAAGAGAACCCCCTAATGAATAACATACTACAAGGTGGTCAGTAAAGGACTTCTCCAACTTGAAGAGAAACCCTACCCAAGAAACTTCTCGAAGAAGGAAGCGGGTGTGAGTGACTGACTAGGCATGGGAAGATGAGAGCAGAACCCAGTCGTCCATGAAATGGAGAGTCCAAAAACCCAGTGAGTGAAGATGACGTGCAAAAGAGAGTACCGCTCAACAAAAAACATATGGAGCTGAAGACAGAACCTTTGTTGACGAACCAAAGAAAAATGACATGAAACTGGGGCAAAAAAGAACACTGATGAGAGAAGTAGGACTCCATGGTGAAGTGAGGTGTTTCCAAATAAGTATACAGCTGGGACAGAGTGATGGTGGAACTCCAATCTCCCTTGTTGTTGGAGACAACACAAAGAGTAAAATCCTGGTTGAGCAGGCACCACTTGTTTAATAGCTCCTTTGTGTAGTAGGTCTCGAACAGATAATGGGAAGATGACTGGACAAGGTACAATCCCTATGAGAAGGGAGGAGATCTGGGAAGTGAAGGGGGGGGGGGTGAAACGGAAGGCAGAAACCATCAGATAGAACCCACAGAACTGTCGTGAAGTTTTGCCAAAAAGACACTAAATATACTGAGAGAAAGGACTCATTACTAACAAAACCTAGAAATGTATAGTCTACAAAGTACAGAAACATAACAAACCTGCAAAACTATGAAATTCAACCAAAAACATAAAAGAATAAGTAACAGCAAAAGTACAGACCACTAAAGGAATTTAGAAGATAAACAACCATTAAATATATAACTTGTAAGTCCACTCAAAGAATCTATAAGACAATGGACACGAAATTAAAACCTATCCTGAAGAATATGAAAACAAAAGGGCACCCAGTTAACAGTAACAAAGTTTGATATAAAACTAATCCTCAAATACTTGTGATTAGTAGTAAAGAAAAAGGAACTTACAAACTAAATAACATTAACAGAGAAAATAATTAAAACTTTAAACAAAAATAAAGGAATAATCAAACTCCAAATGCAAGTTTAAACTAAACCTAAATGATAAAAGAAGTATAAAAATCTAACATACCCAACACTGAGCAGGGAAGATATGAATGACCTAAATTATCAAGTGTGGAAATTAGATCCATCCACACTAACTCACATAAACTCATTGAACATGGGTATACCTACAGGGAGTGAGAAAAACATACTGATAAACTTACCATAGATCTCCTAAAAAAAAAGAATAATACTTAACTCAGTAGATTATGTGGAGGCACAGTATCAGATGGAAAGTGCCGTAGAAAGACAATTTCCACATAGTAATTATGTCCCTCTGCACAAAAAACAAAGAAAAGCATCTTGAAAAGAAGAAACTTTGGTCGAATGTAAGACACAAATTCCCTACAAACTAAAATCTGTGCTTCCTTAGCAGACATTGTCGACACTGAGACTTGGGACTAGTCTAAGAACCATTGTGTATTTATGGCAGGAATTTCATCATCCACCATATTAAATCTCAAATTCATATGAAAAATATAGAATTTGGAAAACAGAGAAACATTTATAAAACAAACAAGTAGAAACAATGGAAGTGAAACACAAGAAGTTGAAGTTGAAACTGACATAAGTTGGTGATCAAGCACAATCAGAATTTTGTTGTCACATGGAGAACGAGTTAAAACAGATGTTTAGACACTAGAATGCCAATCGAGAAAGTGAGGATTGTGCTGTAATGGTAGAGAGAGCTACCTGAGCAAGTATAGATGGAGTAGTATGATTGGTGGAGGGTAGTCACGTGATCAGCACATGTTGCTACAATGGTGCAAAAATGAAGGGGTATAATAGACTGGTACACTGTTGAAAATTTAAGCAATGCTTAGAGGACAAATCAAGGTTGAGATAGCTTTGGATGAGTGGAGGTAGTACTGTTTCAGAAGACGGTATGTAAGAGGCATATTAATGGTTTGGTCTTTCTGATTTATATCAACATAAAACAAGATGATTGGAGTCTATAAACTTACATTATGGCTTGGTAATATCTAAAAGTGTGTCATATGCTAAAAAATCAGAGGCTCAAATAGAAGAGAAAAAATGATCTAAGTTGTGTAATTCAGAGCAAACAAGTGTCACGTGGTACAGAAAAGTGAAGACTGATAATTTAAATACATCCTTTTGAAATTATGAAATTAAAACACATATAATATTAAAATTTGTTTATTAACCACAATTTAATGCTAAGTTTATTTGTATATATATTGATAATAAAGTAGTGTAATTAAATTTTGAATATAACCTGTAAAAAGGTTATGACATGCACACTTTTACTTACCCGTATTTAAAAGGTTAAATGGCCAGGTATAGCCATCATAAAGAAAGCAGACAACCAAAAGCACTTGGTTCTCATGGGTTTTATTTGGCTCTATGAACCAAATAATGTGAATGATTGCCACTTTTTTAAAACTCCCACAGCTGACAATGCAGAGTATGTATATTGGCATCACACCTCAAACCCCAGACCAACACTAACAAATAGTTTAAGCCTGGTTCATTCTCACAAAGAAAGCAAGTTATTCCATGTTATTACTGTATCGGTTTAAACCAAAAAGATAGTTTTCACTCTGCACTTCAAAAATCTTGCATTGTTAAATCATAGCCTACTTTAGGATTCTTTTCAATACAGTATAAAAGTTTCATGGTCCAACATGAACATTAATCAAAAAATCTATCATTTCTGAAAAAATATATAGTATATTTATTCTTATTATTGTATTTGTATAACAGAAAACAATTCTTCAGTGCTTAAACCCCGATCTGTGGTAAAAAATGCATCTGTTATAAGAGCATTTAAAACACACATTATTAAACTATTTATATAAAAAAGGGTATATCACTTTAAATGTTTAAAATTTTTTTCTTTTTGTTTATACAATTATGCCTCATTTCCTGTCAAGCAGCTTTAACTGATCATTAGCCATCAGTTTTGCAAACTGCGTTATCCACTGTTTTTTTCCTACATTCATTTTTCTAAATGGTGTCTAAGTACAAGGTCCATATAATGCCTTGTATTTTAATTGAAAGTTCATTAGGATTTCACAAATTTTAATAATAATAATCTAACTTTGGCTAATTCTCACCTCTTTCCATGAAGATGTCAGAGTGATTTCTGCTGTTTCTTCTAACAGTTCCCTGAACTTTTCCTTCTTCTTTTTGTTTAAGGCTTCAATGTGTTCATTAAACAGCTTTTCTCTCTCCTCTCGATCTAATGACTCCACCATCTCCCATCGATGATCTTTTCTGAGAGCTTTCTTGGCTTCTCGCCAACTTGCATCTGAGTTTCGAACCTATTAGTCATAACAGTATGAGAAAGGAGTATCTTTACTATCCATATGTATACATTCTTATATGCATATACATTTATCTCCTTTTTTTTAAGTCCTTCCCTTCTATGTTTTAGATAAAACGAAAAAGGCATTTATTTTCAGATACACAAAAACACATGGTGTTGTATAATTACAAAAATCTTGCTTATTACTTTTCACATCAATATAAAATTTTGTGGTGATTGCCTAAAATATTTCACAGAAGATTATGTTCTCAGATTGTAAAAAGTATTAAGTGAAATAATTATGCAACAATTATCATTTTTTAAATTAAATATGAAATTACTTATCTCATTATATATGTCTCAAACATTTATTTAATACCAGACTTTTAACATTACATGCCCATGGCAGTGCTTTGTATGGGGGTATTATGTACACGACAGTGAAAGAGTCGTGGTAGGCTGGTATGTACTACAGAACTACATTTCAAGTTGCTTGGAAGTTTGCGGGTAGTACGATGCTATCAAAACTTGATTTCTTTAAGGAAAGGTATGAAACAACCTTTTCTAGCATAAAATATTTATTCACTCAGATCATAAAGATGTGTTAAGAGTGAGGATTAAGTACTTCCCTTGTACTTAATGGCATTGGAAAACAAAGAAATTAGGATCAACTTGGGGCACCAGAGCCATCGAGAAAGAAACCTGCAACAAGTTGTATTCCAGCTGTAGCAGGCAGAGTATGGCATCTTGTAACACAAAGTTCAGTGGCAAAAGCTGCCAATATCATCTAGACAATAGTATGAATAGGATTTCCACTTGGAAAAGCAACCTAAGTCACGTGTACAAAAGTTATTTTCATGACATTCAATCTTTGTATATCTCAAATAGCTAGATAAATGAATCATGTACTTACACTATTCCATACAAAGACAGTAGCAATGCCTATGGATGTCTGTGTGATCAAACTCTATACATGGGCACTGGAAGACTCTTGTCCTCTTATACATTATTTCTTGTTTTTCTATGTTTATTCTTTATTGTCTTATTATAAAGTAACTAAATGTAAAATAGTGATCTCTTTAGATTAGTTACTTTAAATTAAG